CCGTAAACAATTTTGTTTACAATAAAGATTCTATATCTCATCCATTAATGAATATAACATTTGGTGTTCCACAAGGATCCATACTTGGTCCTCTTATTTTTTTAATATACATAAATGATCTTCATAAGTTTCTTTTAAGTGTATTTTTCTTATGAAATTTTAATTTCATAAGAAAAATACACTTAAAAGAAACTTAAATGATGAAATAAAAGGAATTCGACTCGCAAAGAAGTTAGTTTAAATAATGACGGATAAAAGTATGTGCATAATTAAAGACGACGAAACATATTGCAATGCAGATTTTTCACAACTTCCTGGCCAACAATTTTACAATGAAAACAAAGATAAACCTGTCGATGGTCTATTTAAATATGTACGACGAAAAAAAGTTGCATCCAAGTTTTTTATTTGACAAGCAATTTTTAGCTGTGATATGCAGTCTTCTTGTTTTATCACTAAAAAAACTTTGACTGACGATTTCTATATCAAAGAATGCCTCCAAAAAAGACTTGAGCAATTAACTAAAAAACACAAATACCGATATCTCTTTTAGCCAGATCTTGCTGCTTCTCACTATAGTAAAAAAGTTCTACAGTGGTGGAAAGATAATAATGTGAAAATTGTTCCTAAAAATGCAAATCCTTCAAACTGTCATGAGTTGTGAAAGATTGAAGATTTTTGGCCAATAGTTAAAGAAGTTCTTTGTAAGAAAGGTGGAGTAACAAAAAATAAAAAAGACTTCCAAAAAAAGTGGATTAACGCCACCAATAAGATGAAAAAAGAAAAAATCAGCAAAATGATGGCATCAATCCGTTATAAGCTTCGATCTCTTTGCAAACAGCCCATTGAGCCCCATAAAATTAAGTTGAAACGCTAACAATGTAAACACATTTAATATTAAAAAAAAAAATGAAATAAAAAGCATTTATGATTTTAGAGAAATATCAAATTCAGTTGAGATTTGTATCAAATGGGGTTTCATTTGGGGTTGTATCAAATATGATGACTAGGACTATGCTACTTGTACATTGGTACAATCGACCAATATAGATACATTAAGACGCTTAAAAATCATTTGATTCCAAAAAGAGGCCTATTTTTTGGAAATGAGCCTAAATCTATGTATTCCAGTAGCGAGCTAGATCACTAGATTTAAATCTAATCGAAAATGTATGTACTGTGCATGACCGAAAACTGACCAAAACTTCCGCTGAAGAACTAAGAAAATGTTAAAAAGAGTTGTATTATTGTTAATTTGAATATTGCTAAAATCTTTTTATCTCTATTAAAAGAAGATGTAGATTCTTCATAGATAACAAATACCTTATTAACTTGATTTACAGTTTAAAATAAAATATCTTGAGTGAGCATCTACGTGAATCTATGACTTAGATTTTCATAGATACATATAGATACTTTTTAGATCTTTTTTTTTTTATTTTTAAAATAACTTTTAACTTTTTTTGTTGTTGTTGTTACTTTTTATATATTATATAGAATTTTGTAAATAATAAACCACATTAAAAATAAATTGCAAAAATAAAAACAATTTTTTTTAATCACAGATAAATAAGAGACGGTAAGTTTTATTATTCGGAATCTAAATTTTCGATTATTTTTGTATATTAATTTTAGCCAGTATCAAAAAATTACCAATAGAGATAATTTTTAACCAATATATGACAATAAAGAGTTGTGTATAATTTTACCAATGGGGAGTATGGGGGGGGGTATACATTTACTATTTTTCTATTATATAAGAAAACTCAAGGAGCTTTGCAGAATTGCAAGTAATATATTTGGGCGTTTCTGGTGGTCATACAAAAAAGTTAAGTATATAATTTTTAAATTGTAAAACCACCAAAAGATATCTTTTTTTTGCGAATTATCTTATCTGCACCCGTTGTAAATACATTTTGCTACTTTACTTGTTGAATTATTTTTATTATAACTTTAAGACCAACACCATATTTTTTATTTGAACAATGCCGAACTGCGTTCTCACCATTAAGAACCTCGTTTACTAAAACATTCTTGTAATAATTATCTTAAGTACATAAATACTATAGTGACAATCTCAATCATTTTATTAAAGTAAAATGAGCAGCCGTGGCACAGTGGTAGCGCACTTGCCTCAGAAACAAAGGATCCGTGGTTCAAAACCCACCTCTAGGAAAGTTTAGCGACTTCGTTTAGGAAGGAGGTGTGGACTTCCAATTAAATGCTCATCTGCGGTGCTCTGTGATAAGCCCGTAAGGACTTCTTGCGGCATCAAAATAAAATTAAAAAAAAAAAAAAAACACTTACAACAGTTATTGCACCTTATCATACTTTAGTCTTTACTTTGAAATTAACTTTTGGTTTTTGTTTTGAGATACAAATGTGAAAAACAAAACTTTGGTTTTTATTTTGAGATGTAAGTATTAAAAAAAAAAAAAGTAATAACTTTTTATTTTGTTTAAATATATTTTACCGCTTAAATTGATTACAATACAGGGCCATAGTAAGGGGGGGGAGCACAGGGGAGCACGTGCTCCCCCCGCCTTGTCCTTTTTGCGCGTTTCAAATGTTGAATAGAATATTTACTTGAATAATAAAAATCAGAGTTGGTTAATAAAAATTAAAAAATTAGAATTTTCATTTAATTTTATAGTTAATTTAGTAAATACAACACGGGCGGGACAATTTTCTCTCCATTTTGAATTATTGCTTGCAATTTGTATACTCATTTAGCGCCTTTAAAAAAAGTGCTCCTCCTTCAAAATATTCTGGCTACAGGCCTGCAATAACCAGACATATTAAAAAAATTTTACATTAGCAACGGTAGAACTTCTAGTAAAACACGAGGATCTTATTATAAAGCTCTTTACAATATATAATCAGTTTTTGATAAAAATGCAATTTCTGTAGTAAAGTAATGATATACTTTTATGTATAAAATTTAGAAAACTAAGATGAATTGTTAAACATAATAATATACAAAATAATAATAATAATAAATAAAATAAAAAACGATAAGAAATAAATGAAAATATTTTCAATTAAAAAAAAATTAGGTTTTTGTTTAAATGAAGCATGAGTCAGTTTAGTAGAAAAATCAAAATTTGGTAAGACTATTTGTTCCAAAGTAAGGACTTCAGTAAGAAACTTTTGTTCCAAAGTAAGGACCTCAGTAAGAAACAAAAAGATAAGGACCTCACATCACTAAACAACTCATAAAATCGTGTTTACCAAGATAAACTTTTTTTTTAACCAAAAGACATATTTCGCGTTACAGTAAAGAAGGCCTTCTTTACTAACCAAGAAGTTTACGCCAAGTAAACTTCTTGGTTAAATGCACTTCCGGACTTCTTCAGGTGCCTAAATAACAAATTAAAAAATAAATAAATAAATAAACTAAGTTCACAAACAGTAAGACAAGAAACAATAAATATAAAAACAAGACTATTTTAGGGTGCTTTGCAAAAAAAAACGCTATGATAGAGACCTATGAGACGCTATGATAGAGACATATATCCCGCGGTGCTCTATGATAAGACCGTAAGGACTTCTGGGAGCACCTAAATACATACAAAAAAAAAAAAAAAAAAAAAAGAATAAAATAACCCCAAAACCTCCCCCTCACCCAAATGTCAGGGCAGTGATGTAATAAAATTTGTAACTTTACTATCTTATAGTAAATTTAAATTCATCGACAGATCTTAAATTCCATTTTAAAATATTGTAAAGTTCAGAGGTTATGACCATGCAAAATTTACATTTTGTAACATTGGAGGTAAGCGAGGGGGAGGAGGAAGGAAAAGACGGAGATTTTGCATGTTCATAACTTTAAAACTTTATAATATTTTTATATGAAACTAAAAACCAGTCGATGAATTTAAAAACATTTAAATTAAAAACGTTTGGGAAGAGAGGGGGGTTGTCAAATGCTATAGTGTATTTTTGTTCCCAGACCTCCTTCATTACAAATTTTGGCATATTAGCATCGGCATGAACATACTTAAGTTTGGACTTTGTACAATGTGTAAAAGTGTTATATCTGAAGCATTAAAAAATCCTGCGGGCGCCTATGCATCGACATATCGCGACGTTAGACTTATCTTGTTCTATTTCCACGTTTTTAAGTTTTGAGATAAAACAACTTGAAAAATAAAAACTTTAGGAGACAGCATATAAAAATATTTTTATAACTTATGTTTCTCCGCAACTTTTTTAGTTGTAACTTAGGTTTCAATGCAGTAAAAAATAATTATTCTGAAGTACATAACACTATCAATAACTCAATTTTTTCAAAAAGTAGAGATAGAACAAGATAATTCTAACGTCGCAATATATAAAAATTTCGTATTAATCATTACAATGGAAGTGATCATAATGATAACTGGTAATCAATATATATAGCATCGTAATTTTTTCAGAAAATTTAAAAATATATATCGTATTAAACGTATAACATATCAAGTATTAAGTAACATCAACATAAAGTATCAAATAAATAAATATTTATGGGGTTTGCTTCTAAAAGACTTTCTTTTTAAAAAATTAAAATTATTTAAGTACATTAATAATGAACTTTAAATCGAATTAAATTGAAAACTGAAATTTAAGTTTGCTTTTACGCTATTTTAACAAATTAAATTTCATATTATTCAACACAATTTTATCATAAATGAAGAAAAATTGCAACTTGACGTGTAGCAAAAATTATTTATGAAAAAACCGCAAGGTGTTTTTTGTTCCGACATCATACACGATTGTTTATAGCCCAACAATTGCAAAAACCTTTTAACTAGAAATATAGAAATTACTTTCAACCCTAGATTGACACTTATTCTGACATTATTTTTAAAACCTGCATGTTTTTAGTACCAAAACTGAAAGTTTTACACTAATTGTTTGAACAAATTTAAAAAAAAAACGTTTTTCCCACAATTCTCTTCTTTAATTTGCTGCTATTTGCGAAAACCTTCGTAAAATTTACTATAAAATGTTAGAGGTAATCAATAATAAAAATTGTTCGATATAAAAGTTATAAATAATTAAATTGTTATGCAATTATTTTTAAAATATTTAAAGAACAAAAACTATTTAAAACCCACTAAAATCAAAATTCTCATTATTATTTTGTTACACGAGTCCACAATGGAAGACACGAATGTCGAAGAAGAAAGTTTAAATTCAGATGTTGCTGCAAGCGGTTTAGTCGCTCTTTGTGATCGAGTTAACAATGCACATCAATATCCAGAATTAATTGACAAAAATTTAGAGTTTGTAGCTGCTCAATTTGTGGAAGATTCTTCATTACGTATATTTGTTCGAAACATATCTAATTCAACCTCATATGACAATAAAAATAATAAAATAATTAGAACTGCTGATGAAGGTACTAGCAAAATTACTGCAACTTATTCTGTTGATAAAAATAATCATATTACACAAATTTATGATGCTAAAGAAGTGTCAAATACATCTAATATTCAGGAAGAAATTCAATGGGAGGATAAAGTCGAAGAATCAGAGGTAATTTCCCTGGAACACGACCATGAAGATGATCACAATAATGTTGAAATATCAATAGATATTGAAGACGAAAGTACTGTCAAAAACAGCACTTTATATGATAAAGGTGTGTATAATTATTTATTTTATAATCTGATTCATAAGTAACCATTAAAAATTGTTAAGGTTAAGTTTAAGAGTTATATACCAGATAAAAACTAAAATAATGGTACTAAATTGCAATATACCCACAACAATTTCATTAATGGAATTATTGCGGTATATCGTTTGATCACAATGTTTAATTAAACATTGTGATCAATGTTGATGAACAAAAAGAAATATTGGTTTATAGCGAACTACCAAAATATTTAAAAAACAAAAGCAATGTTTAAATGTAATGACATAATAACAATTTTGTGATTGGGTTCTTAACACTGAAGATATTACTTAAGCCAGACTTGAGTTCAGTATTCATGGCTGTTTCACTCAATATAAAAACAAGCCTGATGTCGCGAGATTATCAAAAAAAAAAAAACATTTCTGCATAAAAGGTATAAAAATTCACAAAAATAGTTGTATTTTTTTCTATAAACGCTTTCATCTTCAAATAACAAAAATATAAAAGATCTATCTTTCTTTGTTAAATAAATAATTATATTAAACAAAATAAAAATAAATAGTGTTAAAATATTGCCAATGATTTGTGATCACTTTTCTTTTTTTTGCAATATTTACAAAAAAAACCTTGCGACAACTAAAATAATCTGACATAGCTACATGCTATGTCAGATTATCTTAGTTGTCGCAAGTGAAAAACAAGAAAAAATATGTTAAGCAAATCACATTTAATATTTTAATATTTTACAAGTTAATTACTATAATTTAGTCAAGCTTTTCATTTGGCACGTTTTATCTAAAATCGAAGAAAATTTTTTATTCATTTAATGTCATATGGTAAAACATTTTGTTGATGTTTATATTTTTTTTATAGAACTAAATTATCTTTAATATTTTAAAAGTTTAAAAAGTTTTAGTAACACCTATTAAGTGATCATTAAAAAAAAAAAACAAGAAGCTGTAAAGCTCACTTTAAAATAGCTGTGTATTATTTAATGTGTATATTGATAAATCAAAACCTTTATTTGTTAGTATAAAACAGTTATACCCAAAAACTAGTGACTAACTAAGATCAGGTTTTAAACAAGTTATGACAGATTAAATTAAGATTAATTTGAGATAGACCCACAACAGAATGATTTTCAAATCATTATAGAGTTCTTTATTTCTTCATAAGAATTATTCTTTCTATGCGAAAGTTGCATAGAAAACCTCCCTACTAATCTATACAATTTAATATTTTGTGGTAAATCTACACTTCAAACTACGCTTCTGGAAGTACTCTTTACTTGTTTCTCCATGCAGCTTCTAGCAAGCCTTATAAGCAAGTTTTAGAGCATTAGATTCATGAAAAAATAACATAAGAAATTTGTATTTTGCAATGTTGATATTATTAATTATAAGTTGTATATAGTTTATTTATTTATATTAGATTAAACATATATGTTATATATAATTTAATATAAATTTAATATGCTAATAAAATTACATTTTTTTCTTTTTTAACAAGATATTTCAGAGTTAAGAGTTGCTAATAAAACTAAAAAAAAAAATATATAAAATTAAAAAAAAAACTTTTTTTTAAGTAGCAAGATAGTAATTCCATATGAAATCATCAAAAAAAAAAACATTTTTGACACCCTTGTCTCAGAATTTGCTCATTTTTACCTCACTTGCAGTCCATATTAAAAAAATAATTACTGCAAAAATTTTAGTTAAAAATACACATGGGTTCCAGATTGTCAATTAAAATAATGCTGACTCAGCATTTTAGTGATTATCTGAAGCAACTACAAAGCAACTTTGACATAAAGTATCTTCATAATGGCTTGGTGAAATGTTCTTAAAATTTGGTACCCCAATAGATTTTTACTTACAGTATTCAAAAAGAGCACCCTCAAGACTTGATTGTTGCAGGAAATGCCTCATTTATCCAATTTTGTTCAAAAATATTGACTTGTAAATTCATGATTCTTGGAGGTAAAATAAAAACTGTGGCCCAAAATCCTAGATAAATAGTTTAATTGTATATCAATATTTTATCTTAGGTCTACTGAAAAAAAAAATTATTTATCAATTGCCTCTCTAATACTTGGTCAAAATTTGTGTTTGAAAATTGTGTCTTTTTAGAAAATAAATTTTGTAACAAAAGCAATTGAAATATTTTTTCAACCATTTATATGAATAAAAAAGCGGTAGTGGTGTAGTGGTAGAGCGCTCGCTTCATAAACGAGTGGTTCCGAGTTCGATCCCCACCACGTCCCTGGTAGTACCGCGCTCAACTCGTTTATCTGCGCAGCGGCCTTGTTCGTCAAGGTTCGTGTTTCGGAGTTATAGAGTTGAGAGAGGGTTATAGCCACAAAATAAGTAGCCTCCTTGTCTGTAGTGGCCTTCTCGGCCTTGAGGAGGTGAAGTAAAATTAAAAAAAAAAAAAAAAAAACATAAAATAGTGTTATTTATTGACTAGTTTAGGACATTTTTTGTCAGAGTCCAAAGGAGAGCCAGGGGGCCTCTGATGAACTTTGCCCCCCACCCACCCACCCCACCCACCATCTACACACACACACAAACACATAGCAATCTTGGATTATTTTTTTTTTTTAATACATAAAATGAATTAATAATAAGTTATTATTAAAATTCAATTTGATAACATATTTTTTTTAAGTTGAAGTTTGGGAAACAATTTATTTTCATTATTTCAATTCAAATCGGTGAATGCTTACTTCTTACTATATCAAAAACAAGCAAAAGTTTTGTTTTGTTCTTTTTAATGGTTGTACTTTATTTGTTTGTATTTTCTTAAAGAATGACTGTGAATTTTATTGTGAATTTTATTTTTTTAGCAGGTAATATTATAAATAGTAATCATATTTAATATGGAGAAATGTGACATTTGAAAAAGTCTTAACATTCATTGCCAAAAAACTGGATTTTCTAGAAAACATAATTTTGTTCAACTCAAAGATCTTTCTGGTGAAAAACAAGAAAAAATAATATGTTAAGCAAATTTAAAGCAAGAATATTTTTCAATAAGAATTATATGTTGTTATCATGAGCAATTCTATGGAAAATATTTTGAAAGAAAAATTACTAAGTGTTGCAATCCTTTAGGAACACACAAGGAAAGTAATAAAATTGCTATAAAAGGTAATCTAACATTAACTACAACAGAATTGATATGGAAATTAAAAGAAAAACAATTTGTTATTTATAAAAATTTTTATATTTTTAGTTATTTTAAAAAACTTGAAACTAAATTTGTTTCTTAGGTAATATAAAGATTTCCATATAAAAATCTTTGCAACAAAATAATGTTTATTTAAACCCAGGTTGGAAATTCTGCAGTAAATGTTACAAAAAAGCAGCAGAAACTGATGAAGATTTAAATTCACAGGAAGAATGGGAATCAAAAGTGAGAAAAAAATTAGTTAGATACCACTATAGAATTGCTTGGATTTTCACTAGTCAAACTAAAATGTCTTTTAAAACACAGCTAACTGCCTGCAGTAAAACGAAAGTTTAAGAACACTATTGACAAAGTTGCAAAAATAGTCTCATTAGCATATAACATTAATAAAAACTCTTTAACAACAGAAATTAAAAGCACCATTTCAAACAACAACATTACCAATGAACATGATCTAGATATTTTAATGTATGTAATAAAAAAAAAAAATTTCTGAGACTCTTATCGCTATAAGGTACAAATGTTAACACTTGTACCAAAATCATGGACATATACAAAGATATCAAGCTACTTGTTGGTGTCTGAGTATCTTGTTCGAGTTAAAAATGAGCATGGAATTCCATCATTGCCCCCCCCCCCCAAAAAAAAAAAAAAAAAAAAAAAAAAAAAACAACTGGAAACTTTCACCAGAAACAGGTAATTTAGTGATTAACTTTTATCAACGTGATGAATTTTCAAGAATAATGCCAGGAAAAAAAAGATTTTGTAAGTGTTAAGAAAAACCAAGATGTTGCATTACAACTATTGCATCAGGTACTCATAATGTATGTGTATGCATGCATCTCCACAGTATAAAATTTCCCACTGATGCCATTAGGTGGAATAAAAGTTATAAAAATTTCATAGCATTGATATTTTGTTAACTTGAAAATGCAGAATGTATATTGCATTGTTGTAACCAATGCCCTGGTATTGAAGCATTAAAAAGTTTTTTAGTACAGGAGTTTATGGACCATGAGCTTAAATAAGATGTAGCAATCAAGCAATGACAGAGTACTGATCGTACAATCATTGCCACTAGATGAATTGAATTTTATAGAGGAAAAAGTTCTCAAACACAAATCTTTTTGTTACCTTTCAGAAGATGTTGATCATGACACAGGATTTGTTTACAAGTCTAAGGAAGATATAACTAGATATATCAAACAAAATCTACTTGATGTATCAAGTGTAAAATACTTTTCTGATGGTTGTGCAGCTCAATTTAAAAATTTTAAAAACTTCATCAATCTTTGTCATCACAGTAAAGACTTTGATTTATGATAAATGCTGAATGGGTATTTTTCGCTACCAGTCAAGGTAAATTCCCCTGTGATGGTATTGGTGGGACTGTTGAAAGAGTTGTATGTCAAGAAAGTCTAAAATAGAAAACTACTGGGCAGATTTTAGATGTTAATATAATGTACTCCTTTTGTAATGCCAAGATAAATGGAATTTGTTTTAAATTATTTTCTAAAGATGAAATCGACCAAACACGAGCACAATTAGAAAAAAGATATTTAGGTGGAAAAACAGTTCCTGGCCTAAGGATGTATCATCATTTTATTCCAAATTGCTTCAAACACTATAAGTTATAAAAAAACAAGTATTGATAAATGTATTGAAGTATTTGATATCATTCCAAAAAGCAAACTTAATAAAGAGATTTCATTAAACATTAAAAAAATGGATTATATTGTATGTTTTTATGATGGTTAGGGATTGCTGAAGATGTAAGCGAGCTTGATATAAAAGTCAGATTCATGCATCCACACGGA